GAGTAACACTGAAGATATTAGTTAAAGAAACACATGAAATGGGAATATAGAATGGGGAAAAACACTTCCTGAAGCAGCGGATCCTCCCACCGCATAACTGTAATGTGAGTATGAATGCACTTGTTTGTTTATTGTTTCAACATGAAACAGATTCATTCAACTTTAGTTCCACTTCACATTTTTCACCCCGGTCATGCGTGGCACCTTACAGCGTCTCTATGCCCCCACCCCAGGGGTCCCCGTCCCACAGTTTGAGAAACATATATCTTTCTTGACAGCGATGCTAAACGCTAAGGTGATGACACACACACACACACACAGATGTACACTATAATATGAAGCACTCTCCAATCATACAGTAGTCATACAAACTATCCAAATACAGTAAATACTGTAGATCTGTACAGACAACCTTTTCTTCTTCTGTCCTGCTCTATGCTCACTGCAAATGAGTTTGCAGAGCCACATTACTTAATCACCGAGAAGTATCTCTAGCCTCAGCCCAGTCTTTTGATCTGCTAAATGATATTATAATGAATTCTTTAACATTTTTGTTTGTTCCTGCTCTCATTGAAATTCTGTGCTTTCAGCAAAGTAATATCATCCTTTTAATGTTGTGAAGAGATGGTAAGTAGATCGGAGGCCTCTATCCTGAGGGTCCACACAATCTCTTATCCACCCACCCCTAACCCCCTCTTCACACACACACACACACACACAGTATATACACTCCCTAACACTACCATCTCTTTCTCCAAGATTACTGAGTAAACGGTGGACTCTTTGGTTGGTATATGTTTAGGACAAGTAGAGTTCATTTGGAGTCTTTCCACATGCATCCATCTTGTATTAATGTCAGTCAGTGGTGTACATAAAGGTATCAAAAATTGACACTTCCAGTATGTGTGCCACTAAAGCATTCTACATCAACATTTTAGGTGGTGTGTAAATGGATTATGGAGATGAATAATGGACACAATCTCAAAGTATATATTTCAAATGGCAAATTCAAGTTTTTTTTATTGTAAGCTGTAAAGCTACTTCTGGAAATGTAAAGTTTAGCCTTGAATTTCAATAGTTTGATAAGTTTCTACAGATATTATTTCAAACACAGCTCCTGTTCATTGTAAAGAAGGAACAGCCATTATTCAAGCCAACAGTTGTTCAGTTTTTGACTATCATTTAATTGATCGGTCTTCAAGACAACACAAGTACCGCACACATCTAACCATATAACCTCATTATAATGTAAACTTCCTTTCCTGGATAAAATGTCTGCATGATTTCAGAATTAGTTCGATTTTTTTAGCAGCTGGTGAAGCTTGTCCATCCTGCAGACTGACTCCAGACCATTCTGGGGAGGCTAAAGTCATGGATTAACTATGTGCATTTGTTCACTGTTATTTCTCTTTCACTGAATTGCTGGCATGAGAAAAATATTACTGCTGGGATCAGCTAGGTCACCTGGGATTAGGGTGTATAATTGCTGAAAGCCACATGTAAGATCACACTGGGTGCTTCTGTGTGAAACTGACATCAGCTTGAACAGCAAGGCTATAGCTGTAACAGCCTGACTTCAATTTGTAGTCACCAAATTGGTCCCTATCATTATTAGGGACCTCGCAAGCGACCGCTGGAGGTCCCTATTGTTTTTGCTTCGTTTCTTCTTCACTATTATTATTATTTTTAGCACTTTTGATTGCGTTTTTCCCCCCCTGAATATATACGAAAAGTCAATTTTATTTGGCAAAGTTGTCAGGCCTGGTGAAAAATTTGATATTCTATGTGTCTTTTTCAGGTCGGCCACTAGGTGGCGCTACTATTTAGGAAAGTATTTTCACTTTTTAGTTACTTAATAACTTTTGCATATTTTGTCGCACATTCAAAAAACTTATATGCACGCGTTCAGTGAATGGAGCTGAATCTCTCCATATAGGCCCCGCCCACTTCCGCCTATAATTTTTTTCCGCTAGGGTGCGAAAAGTCCTTAAAGTACGTTTTCTTGGTCCTCCTACATGCTTTGTCCAATTCCCACGAAATTTTTCACCTAGCACCTGGGGACCGCCCTGGCAAAAAAAGTAATTTGAACCTTTTTGAAATTTCAAAAAATAAGAGCGCTATAAAATTAAGACTTCCTGTAGATTTTTCGTCAAAAAAGGAAGAGGACCATTTCTTAACATTGGTATGTTCGATTCACATCAAACTTGGGTCCATAGTTCCTCATGTCCTCCTTAGGCACCGTGCACAATTTCAGACCATTACCACTAGGTGGCGCTCTTTAAAATGAAGGACTTTATATCTCTGCAACGGCACGTGTGATTAAAATGAAACTTGGTAGGATGCTTGCCCATGGCTCCCTAAGGCTCACCAAAAAAGGAAAAAAAATCAGGCCACTGGGTGGCGCTCTGGTGGCAGAATAAATCACTGTGCGGAGACCGTAATAGTTATGAATATGAAATTCACAGGGCACGTGTAGAGTAGTGCCTGAAGCTCACATACCAAAGATCGTGTTTGTCGTGTGTGTAGCGCCCCCTACAGGATAAAAAAACAGCAGCCCCGGCGCCACGTTTCACCGATATGTACGAAACTTGGTAGGCATGTTTAACATGCTGAGACGTACAAAAAAGCCTCTTGGACCCATACCCGACACCCCACAGGAAGTCGGCCATTTTGATTTAAAGTTTCGATTTCGGCGAACTTTTCGCGTTGTATTTGAACGAACTCCTCCTAGGGAATTTATCGGATATGCTTCAAAATTTGTGAGTACACTCAAAAAATGGTGCTGATTAAAAGTTGTGCTATTTGTGCATGTACGTTGAAGGGCGTGTCCGTGGCGTGGCATCAAAGTCAGCCATTTAGATTTTTTTGGTCATTTTCTGGGATTTTTCGCGTTGTATTTGAACGAACTCCTCCTAGGGAATTTATCGGATCAACTTCCAATTTAATCAGCGCAATCTAAAGACATTCATGATTAAAAGTTGTGCTATTTATGACATTCCGTCAAACGGCGTACCCGTGGCGTTGCGTTGAATTTCGACCATTCACCATAAACAGATGGTACTCAACTTCAGTGTACAGTCCCACCCTGAACACGTCCTCATAACTTCAGCGTACATGATCCAATCTCAATGAAACTTAAGGTGTGTTACAACAGTCCCGCCCTGAACTTGTCTACATGACAATATTAAGACATAGTGATAGCGCCACCTTCTGGCAACAGGTGGTAAGCGCTGCATGGCGATTTTGTGCTGCGTTACGTGAAATGACCGTGCCAGTGACGACTTGTCAAATTCAGCGGATTCGCCATGAAATGCCACTCATGACTTCAGTGTGCAATGTCCAATCTCCAGTGAACTTCATATATTCTGTAACAGTCTCGCCCTGAACATGTCCTCATAACTTCAGCGTACGTGGTCCAATCTCAATGAAACTTCACGTGTTACAACAGTCCCGCCCCGGAACTTGTCTACATGACAATATTAAGACATAGTGATAGCGCCACCTTCCGGCAACGGGTGGTAAGCGCTGCGTGGCGATTTTGAGCTGATTTACGTGAAATTTTCGTGTTGTGGCAGCACGCCCCGAGTTGCATGGAGTGCGAGGTCCCGCCCAACGCTGCTTGCAGCTTTAATTATTATTATTATTATTATTATTCATGTCATAAATTCTTATTATCCTTTATTCACTCAAATTTTCAATAAACAAATAATCTTAATCCCATAAATCAACTGACAAGTGCTAAAACAACCAGTGACACTTATCAACCAATATCATGCACATATCACATATCAATTTCTAAAAGATAGCAAGTCTGACAGTAACACTACCAGTATACTAGAGGTATGTGAAATTGTAGAAAATTATTATAATGTCAAAACAAATTAAGCCAGAGATTGGATTAACCAGAATTGCCTTTAAGATATTACATTTGAGGATATTTGAGTGGTCGTGCAACCTGACCATGGGACTATTACAGGCGTTTGGTTACATTTATAATAATTTCTCATTTTATTTGTTCTCATAGTCAGAAGTGCTCTAAGTTAAAAAGACTCTTGACAGAGTATGTGGAAGTTGCTGGTATAACCTAGTCCTCAACTCAGCAAGGAGGAGAGAACGTCTCCATGCACAGCCAGCATTAATGAAGTGTTGGCACCATTAAGAACAGTGTCGGGACTCTGAGCAGACCTAAACCACTCTATGGCCTGGACCCTGTCTCTGCAAATCAACACTGAGTTTAATTAAGTCAAGCCACACTGCCATTGACCCAACATTACTGTTTAAGTTGGCAGGGCTGAGGGAAACCTATTTACTGCGAGCAACAAAGGCAGTTTTATATGACTGCAGGAAAGCAGATTGCAAGGCTAATATTTGGAAATTGTTTTATTTGATTTCTGTATTTATTGAGTGTAATTTCTGAGCTCCTCTGCGGCATTTTTAGCATCAAACGTGCGGGTGTGTGGCCCAGCGGTCAGACGGCAGGCAGCCAGAGGTTTGGCTGGTTTGGAAGGACCAGCTCAGGCCTGATTACTGGGGCGACCCTGCAGGAAGAGTTCTCAAGTCCAATAGATTAGGAGCTTTTCCAGAAACCACAGCATGAGCAGAGGAGAGGGGAGAACATCAACCAAAGCCTTCATTGCTAGAAAGTATTGCTCAACACAGTAAACATGATTTCATTCTTACTTCCCAATAAAGATACACATAAAATGCATTTTATATTTCCCCTGACCCCTCAACACTGTCTGCAAGTAATTTGAATCAGGAGAACCAGAGTTGTATAATGCAGTTCTGAACATTTTAGTAAATATTCTGTGAAGGACTGGACTGTGGCTTATTTCAATTAACTGGAATTGTGGTTTTATGACATAAAAATCATAACATTAAAACCCAAAGGAATGGTTGTGATTATTAGTCATCGTAAAAGATAAGGCAGATGGATCGAGAAAAGGAGGACTCATCAATAAAATAGAAGAGCTGTGAGAAATTTAAGAAAGCAATATTACCTGAAAGAGTTTGGTTTGTCTCCTGGCAGGAGGAGGAACTCCTCTTCAACCTGAAACTTGGAGGATGGACACGGGGGAAACGATTTTTACAGACAACAGTTCCTCCTCTAGCTCTGAGATTCTGAAAGAAAAACCAAGAAACTTTTAGTGTCTTAATTTCTTACTTTGTGTTTTCAAGTAAAATAGAAAAAGTAGCTGAAACGGACAAATATGTTAATTAGCTTTAGTCGCCAAAGGAGGAAAGTGATGCTCCAGTTCTGTTATTCTGGGTTTAAATGAGAGCAGTAATTCACCTCTTAAGAGCACTTATCCCATTGAGAACACACACGCTTTTCTCCTCAAATGAGTCACCACACGTAGACACAAGAGTGCACACAACTGTTTGTGTGAAAAAGACCATTTGTAATGAATGAAGCCACATTGCTGTGACGAAACCATCAGTGAAAATATCATTTTTCCATAAAAGATGCAATGTCTGTTTAATCATCAGACGGGAGAGGGATATTCCATGTGGGTCATGAAAACTTTAGCGTGAAGATTTAAGTGCTGTAGACCGAACTAAAATGAGCTTGTGCTGTTCCATAATCACATCAGTCTGGATGTTAGCATCAGCACAGACAGGTAACAAGCACACAACAAGCCTCCACAGCAGCAAGAGTCAGCTAAACCGCTCATCTTCTTCGCTGTGTGTGATACAGCATGTCATTGGTTTAGCCAGGCATCGCCACAGCTAATCAAAGTGGATAAGAAATGCATTAGTACACACAGGAGCATCCTGCATTAGCTTGGGCTAAAGCAGGCCATGTAATTGACTAGAAAAAACTAAGTCAGTCAGTCAGTCACGGAGGACTTGAAATAGCCTCTCAATAAAATGCACACACACACACACACACACACACACACACACACACACACACACACACACACACACACACACACACACACACACACAGTGCAGCCTCTATTTCTTCAGCGTGTGGTGCAAAAAGAGAAGCCTGTCCTTCAGAAGTGTTGCTATTTCTGTTTACCACAAGGCCCCAAATATTCTATCATTAGGGAAACTAGGAGGGAAAGGAAATACCACTGGTGAACACATGAACTCCATAGAGCCGCACAAAGAAACCTAACTGGCAGGCTGGACTGTCATGTTTCTGGTAACAGGTTTTATTTCCACAATATCCATGTGTCCATTTAGGTAAAAGTGTCACAAAAGTGATATTTTCTCACTTCTTGTAAGGCATCATCTGCTTTTTCTACTCTCGGATTCAACACTTGTCCAAACCCCCATTCAATTTATCACATTTACAGTCATAAATACATTGGTGAGAAAGATCTTTTTTTGTAAGTAAATCATGGTCATAAAGGTTGGTAAAGAGTGTTATTAGACCTCAAGACTGGCCCATTTTCTCTGGTTGGCCCAGCTTACAGCCTTTCTTGGTGAAAATGCAAATGATGTGTTGTCAAACCAGAGCCATTACACTGGAGGCGATGCTTCTTCTACCAGTGTTTTAGCTGCATGAATTAAAAACAGCATAACACAAGAAATGTATGATGTATGTCTTTGGGAGCATGCCTGTATTTTAACTTTTGCAACGGCCAATTTGAATACAGGCATTGACGGAATCTTTTGCACCAGCTGTAAAGAGGAAGAAGCATCTATCTGAGGCAACAAGTGAAGCCAAAAGGGGCAGAGACAGAAATCTCTTAAAGAAGATGGTTAATATTGATTGATAAGCCTTTGCATGGTGGAAACAATGAAAATATGAGATTAAAATACAATCCAAGATGATTTACATACATAATAAAATCTAAAATCTGTTGCTTAATATTCATATAAATGCAGTATGTGTAGTCACTAAATTTACATTGCAGTCCTTTATCCTGTGGGTAACATCCCCAACTACAACCTTTCCTTTAGCATCCAGGTTTCTGCACTGTGCTACATAGATGTTGACTTTGCTGAGCTCTGAGGTCAGTTCATAGAATTTTCTACTCTTATTCTCTTATTATGTGATGGCTGAATGTCTTCACTTTATACATATTGCACAAATAAAGCTACACCTATATCTACCTCCAACCAACATGACATTAGCTGCCATTTGTCACTTCTATAACTGAGGTCATATCCTAAACTCAGTTCTTGAGAGTGATTTCATAACCTCTGAGTCCCACCACTAACCACAATGCCAAAAAACAAAACTAACACACTCACAAGCAACAAGATGGTATGCATCAGATCTATACTCGTGCCATCACATTTCTCTCGCAAAAAGACCAAGTGCATTTAATTAAATGGGCAGGGGTCCCAGCTATGCTTCCAGCCAGATTACATTAGGACACAGTAAAGTTTTGATTGTCATTCTCATGAAACAACGTCCAGCCAACCTTTGTAGAGTATGATTTTGGACGTGTCCTCTTTCATTTTGGCTGACGGAATAAAATGTCTAATGCTTGTTTAAAATATTTTCCACTATGTTATCCACATGCTTACAATACTGTTAATGGTTTTTACATGTAGCTCCACATATTCCCGTATATTTCAACTGATGTAGTGATGACCAAGGGTTGGGTCCCTTTGTGTCACATCATTCTGTGAATGGGCTGTCCCAACTACCAAGGGGAGTTGGAAGTTGTGTTTCTTTAAATGTAAACACTTGAAACATACTAATCAGATTTACAGTAATCAGAACATTGTGTGCATGTACCCATGAGGCACAAGATTGTGCAATGAACAATAGTTCTCACTGAAATGTAGTGTGTGATGTACGTTGAATTTACAGTACCTTGAACAAAAGTCCGAATTTGATCAAGTGTACGTGACTTAGCCACAATTACTTAAAATGTAATGCATTTTCAAACTTCAGACCACAAGATGTTCTAGGTTTTATCTGATTTTCTTGGTTAATTGATAAACCTGCATGAGAGGACAGGTCCTTGAATGAATATTTGCTCATGGACCTTAAAAATACTTCAAGCTTGTTATGCCAGTCACTCAACAACTGAAAAGCTAAGAGGTATTAGCAGTGCCTTGAAACTTATTGGTAACATCTCTGAACTAAAGAGAGAGAAGTACTTGTTTTAATCCTGCAATTTGGCCACTTGGGGGCAGTAGAAACAAGCTATAAACACAAAATTAACATACCATAATGTTCTACCTTGATATGGCTAAGGTTTTAGTAAACACTTGTCTATTTATGCATACAGCAACACTGGTGTTCATTTTAAGTCATTTTTCTGCCCACGATGATAATTCCTTTTACCTCAGTTTCTGGTCTCCACCAGGCACAGCAGTCAAATGCTAAAGTCAGCATGCTAACAGGCTCACACTGACAACGTCAAGTAGGAATAACTATTGGCAAGAATTTGGCGATATAATACGTATCATGGCACAGGGGTTATGATTCAATATATTGCGATGTATCGCAATACTGTAAGCAAGGTGATAGATTGAGTTGTTTTTCTTTAATCTAATTTTAGGAAAAGTATAAAGAACACACCACCATATGCAAACAATTTGTACTTTTATTTACTTTTTTATGAAACCAAAACAGTGAGATTTACATTTAAATGTATCCCAGTCCCTGTAACAACCAACTTCATAGCCCTAGGTTCACGCTTATAACACTGCTAACTAGCGGTTTAAACACAAAAATATATACAATATCACAAAACAAAATATTGAGATATATTTTAAATATTTTCCAACACCCCTAACACTGAGTTTATAGGCAAAGACTGGCAGAGACATTAAAATATCTATACCATTGAATGAATTATCTGGAACAAAGCATATGACAGTTACAGTAAGCGTCAAGGGGCAACAACAAAGTAACATGCTAACCCTGGCTGTGTTATTGGCTCATTATAGAAATCCACTATCCTTAATGCCATTCACATAACTGAACTAAACTCTAAAATAAGAGAAACATCAACACATTACACTGTACGGCAACAAAATGAAAGTATATGTGCTCCAGACTACACAGTATCTAGGATATCTAAGTCTGCTAAGAGATAACCGACTGGAGATGGGAGACTTCTTTCATCCCATATGCTCCCTGTGGTCTCAGCAGTCTGACAGGGTGACAGTGTAACCATGACCTGATTACCTGTCCCCTGAAGCCTGTAATCACTAAAGCCAGCAGACAGGCACTGTCAGTCCGCTGACAGGGAGGATAATTGAAGGTGATGCTACATGCTGCTAGCCCTGCTAATGAAATATGAAAACAAAGAGCAGGGACAAGGAAGCGGGGCACAAAAGAGGTCTGAGCTCCAGAGCAGCACATTTTCTGTCTATTCACCAGCCACTTTTCATTTTCCCTGCCAATAGGACGCTTAAAATACTGGTCTATGTGGAATGATGGTCTGTGGATTGGACTCCCTTCCATCCTGATAAAATAGCTTTTTTAGTGACTGGTCCTTCCCATAGACATTCCCACTGAGTCTCAGGTTTTCCAGTTACTGGAATGTTCAAAGGCAAATGGGTGTGTGTAATATTAGTTCAGTGATAAGATGCGTGCATCTCCTGGCTCCACAGTTACAGTGTAGACTATTAAAAAAACAACCGTGCATCAGTGATGTCACCCATAACATTCTGAAGGGACTTTCTCAAACTTGAATGTGGGTTTATCAGCAAACTGCAACAGGCTGAGACACTAAACATCTCTTTAAACATGATTGTTCTTAATTTAATACTAAGAGACCAAACTCTTGTAAAAAAAAAAAAAAAAAAAATTGAGAATTTTTCATTGAAAGAAGAAGTTAGAGAACAATTCCCAACCTGCTAAAATCTGTCCTGGTTGACAGAGTTGTGAGGCTCAGAAGGAGCATAATTCCAGGATGTAAAGCCAGGAAATGGTGATGGTGATTAAAATTAAACCATCCAAAGCTAGCTATTGACTTTTTGAGAATTCCCCCAGGCCTTGCCAAGTTACCACCTTCATACTTCCTTTAAATACTGAAAGATACCCAACCTTGTGGTTGTATGGTTTTTACATTTGCGAGATCAGACAAACCACAGGGTCACACGAGAATCCATCTTGCCAGGGTACAAGCTACACACTTGTGTGAGCTATGACCTTGGATCCGCCTAATAAGAGAGAGCTCCTCTGAAAACATGATTTGTGATCTATCGAGGGTGTGTCTAAAATGTTGACAATATACTATTTTTGCCATGTATTTCTAGCTTTCTGTATCTTTATCATCACGGACTATGTGTAAAATGAGGCTATTATTGATGTATGTATGTTATTAACTGATCCTTAAATATCAAATCTGCTAACATAAAGCAAGTAGGCCTTCATGACTGCAGCTATGAATGTTTCTTTGCAATTATAGTGCAAACGGTACAGTTCGCACACTGGTCCAAACCACAGGTGGTACCGGACCAATCAGTGTCCTGAGAGGAATGACTGACAGTTACAGCCGTGTTAGCGACTGTAACAAACAACAATGGTGGCTGCTAAAGAGGTTAGCGTAGAAGCTGCTAGCAGAACTGGAGAGTATTTCATCAGTGAGATGAGAGAAAGAACAGCACTGAAGGTTTTTCTCCATGTAAAAGATGTTTTCGTTCTTCTCATGGTTTGATGAGAGCTTGACGACTTTATGGTATATGGTTCATTGATCTGACTCTTTAAAGTGTGCCTGCCCTTTCCAACGACAACGTCCCAGATGGATCTGTGTAACAAACTATCTGGCACAGTCAGGTTGGAGGATAACATTCAGGAACGCTAAAACTCAATTTTTCTTGCGGCACAAAGTATATTGGAACCTCTGCTCACCCACCAATCAGTGTAGATGGGCTGTCTGCTTCATCAATGTACATTTGTAAAGCCACAACAGACACTGACAGTCTCAAATAAATACAGCATTATTTTATTTTTTTTACATTGAGCTTTGTGATTCTCTCTTTTGTTACTGACATTGTTCTGATAATATAAAAAAAGTATTTTAAGCAATACCCATAGGCCCGTATGTACTTTAATATTAAGCATTACTGGTTGCTGTAATTGGTCCTCCTGTCAATACTGGCCACAAAGGGATCCCTTCTTAAAGCAATTTCAATGTAAAAGATGGGGGACAAATGCACAGTCCTCATTCAGTGCTAAAAGCACTTTAAAGTTCAGATGAACATAATATGAGGCTTCAGGAGTCTCAGTGAGACAAATGAAGTGAATCTTCAAAGTTTTACAAAGTTCCTGCTTTTGGTTACTGTCCCTCAGCCAGCCTCTGTGTAGTGTCCACAGAGGCACAAAGAGGGAATACTATACTTTAGAGGACAACCACCTGATTTAGCTAACTCTGACTACTGAAGCATGATATTAGCTATATGAGAATGTATTTTCTTACACAAAACGAGGAGTTTTGTCACTTACACTGAAATCACTTTAGAAAGAGATCTCGTTGCGGCAAGTACGGACCAGAGGAACAATTACAGCACCCAAAAACCTTTTTCACATACACATGGAAATCTAAGTATTGTATCGGCATAGACTTGTAAAAATTGTGAACTCTTCCTTTAAAACCAGATTACTTCATCCAAATGTTCACACTATCATTTTAAAACAAATGAACATCTGACCAAACAGCTGTAGATACTATAACTCCCCCACAGACATCTGAGATATTCTGTGACAAAGTGTTGTAAAACTGATGTTTGTGGTGTTATTTATCCTTCTTATTCTGCTACAGTTAGTGATGTCCAGTCTCTTAGAGGGGAAGGGCACATGGTTGGTATTTTTGAGGTACTATGCTGACAGTATTTTGGATTAAAACTCTTTAAATTCACATCCCTGCAGCACTGGATTACAGTTACCTTAATGTATCTATTGCTATGGAGTCACTGACATGGTACTGTGACAGTCCTGTAGGGACTTTACTGCTGAATTATACAGTACTTCTCTGTATTATGCTTCTGGTACTCCAATAGTAGCCCTACTGGTACATCTCTTCTCTTCATCTTAGAAATATAGCCTACAAGTACACACTGTTTTGAGGCAGCAGGTCCCATCACATTCAGATAGACAGGCTGTAGAAGTATCCCAAGGAGAAAATGGTGAAGCTAACCGGCTAAAAACAGCTAGTGCTTGTTTTTACAGCGTTGCAGAGTTAATCAAAGTTTCATTAAAGCACTCTGGTTTCTGTACAGTGCCCGTACTGTACTCACGTTATGCCACTCAGCCACAAAATAACTAAACAAAACAAATTACCGTCCCGCTCACTAGCATGCTGTACAGAATCATTATGTCATTATTTTGGGTTGTTTAGGAAACTAACGGACCGAGTTAAAGCGGGTGAACAAGAATACACAACACTGTGTGAAGAGTCAGCGGCTCCCGTCCCTCAGTCCGTCTGTACAGCAGACAGTAAACAGACTCTGTCACATGTAAAAGACACATAGTTTGTCCACTCACCCATGTGCCCTTCCCGACGCGTCTGTAAACACGGAGAGTTTTCTATCAAAGTGTCTCCGGTGGACACACACACACAGTCAGAGCCTCGACCGCTACATTTAGGAAACTAACTCAGAGCAGCGCGAGGGTTTGGCTCCTCCCACCAGAGTAGTGTGTTTGGATCTTCCCATCCCACGTACAGTGTGGGGTATGTATGGGGGACCGAGGCCGCCAAAATCAGAACTAAAGCAACAAATAAATGACCCAATAAACGAATAAATAAATATGTCATTAATGCGCCAAAAATAATATCAAAAACAAATATAGACATTCATTTATTTATAAATTTAACATAATAAGTATTAATACTAATTATTTATTTATTTACCCTCACATTAATTATTTATTATTTATTTTCCCATTTAATTTCTTTTTCCATTTCTATAGGCTATGGATTTCTGCTTCATTATGCATATGAAGTGTCATGTGGTCAACTTCACTCCTATTAGTTGATCAACTGTGTCTTTAATGGCATATTTATTTGTTTATTTATTTCATAATTTATTTACTTATTTTTGGTCTTCCATTATGGAGGACCAAGACATTTCACTCCTACTTCACCACCATTACCACAATTTATTCAATTATCTAGTTATTTACTCTATTACGTAGGCCTTTACTCCGTTACTGAGCCATGTACTCCATTACTTAACCATTTACTTAATTACCTAGCTATTACCTCAGTTGCCGAGCCATTTATTCAATTATTAATACTATACTCAATTTGTCATTTACTCAGTTATTGAGATTGAACCTCAAGTCTTCTGATTACTTGATGATCTACCTACTGAGCTATGCTAGGTAACCATTGAGTCTTTACTCCATCACTTAGCCCTTTATTCAGTTACCTAGCCACTTGCTCCATTACTTGGTGTGATACGATAACAACAATTTCCACTAATCATGAATTATATCACAATCTATGAAAAGGTGTTGATATCAGACATTTCAGCTGGCAAATACAGCACTGCACACCAGAACACATTTCCAGTGTAATAACTGATCCATTGATATTTTATTTAGCCCTGACCTGAAGGAAGAAGCAAGCTTGTGACTGAAAGGTCGCAAGTTCAAGTTTCTGAACCAGCTGAAAAGATTTGCTTGAAGCAGGCAATCCTCCCTCAACAACACTGTTGATGAAGCTCTGAGCAAGTCACAACCAGCACCACTGTTTTGTTTTCAAAGGTCTTATTGTAAAGTATGTATCAATGTATCTTAACACAGTAATCTCATATAAGGCATCATGCTTTTACACTGGACTTCTACAGCACAAAGAATTATCAGCATGTTAGCGATTCATATCACATTCATGTTAAATGCAGTGTCAATAGGCTCCACATACTAAACAATGTGCCTCTAAATAGTAAATAGTCCCTGTGCAATTCAATTACAGAGGTATAGTAGTTATACTCTAACTAACTAGTTACTTTTATTTTCTGTAAGATATTGTACCGTACCCTTTTGTTGCTCTGCATTTGGCCTGTCAGTTTTCCCCATGAAGGCCACCACTGTGTGTGAAACACTAAAACCAGATGACATAAAAGAGCTGCAGTGCTATCAGTAGCTTTAAAGCCATTTGACTGGTTTTTGCACTGCATACGCCTTTCTTCATTTTTGATTTCTTTAATGTCCCTACTTCTTGTTTGTATGGTGTGTACTATTGCATACCATGTTTTCCAAATATAATGACCTTGTATAACAAAAAACCCTTCTTGGGCAGGTTTTCAGCAAATGCTTAAAAAGTGGCATTGTTTTATAGATGGTAATTTACTTTATAGAGGTATCAAATGCTTTTAATTTATTATACATCTAGCATTCTTTGACAGAAAATGTAAGCCGTTGCATGCATGTTTATTTTGGCAAGGAAACTTTAATAAAAGATGAAACTGTAGTTAACCCCCCTAAAGAGTATCTATCTTGACATAATTGATGTACTCAAGTGGACATTCAACTCTGATACTATGTTAAGCCTCTTTGTGTGTACTTTGTTTTTACATGTTATAGTCTGTGTCAAAATGTATTTTTTTTTATTTCTTATTATTATATATGTGTGTGTTTGTCTGTTGCTTCAATTGTTAAGAAAATTGACAATAAAAATATTTTTGAAAAAAAAAAAAAAACAGAGATGAGGAAAAATGAATAATTATTCCTCAAACTGTGCCTTTATTTTCTCCTGTAGCTCCTCCAACAAACGATTGAGCATCATTATCAGTCAAACAAAGGACTTTTTTTCTCCCTGCATTGTTTCACTTGTTAATAAAAACCTTTGCAACAGTGGTTTTTGATTGTGTTTTAAAAGTAAACCCTTTTTTCAAATAGTCATTCCATCATTGGGCTGTCAGGAGGAAAAACAAAAACAACTCTGGTGCCATCATGTGTTCTTAAGTCAGATGGCAGCTGAAGTTGGTGAGAAACAGCAGGCTAAAAGAATCACTGGGATAGATTTTTGCCAAAGCTCCAGACGTTACAGAAGTGTGTTTTTGCTTGTTTCAAAGGCCTTTGAAAAGAATAAGTGGTTCTATATAGAAGTTTTAAATGGTTAATAGCGTGGTACGTATGGTACCCTCAGAAGGTTAGAACTATTTCAGAGGGTTCATTTTAGAACCCGTTGTTTCTTTGTTGCTTAACAAAATGATTCTTTTAAAGGTTAAATCAACATAACAAATCTTTCATAATAAGAATTATATGAAGCTAATTTAACTATAATATTTATAACTTATATCAGGGTTTGGGTGAATATTTGATTCTGATTGGCTGCATTAAATAATTAATTCCTGAGGTAGGACGCCTACTAAGTAGTTCCAGTGAAACTGACTGTAGTCTGTAATCCCGGCCACAAGGTGCTGAACTAACTGCAGCACAGAGAGCTTCCCTGTCAGGAGATGCTGGACGGTGTCAAAAGCACTGGAGAAGTCAGAAAACATGATCCTCACAGTGTTTTGTGGCTTCTCCAGGAGTGTGTACGTTCTGTGACATAGATGATGGCATCATCCACATTCCTAATAATCATCTTCCATGATGCAGGGAATCCCTTCCTTAGCTGTGAAAGCCTCAATTAAGTTGGACGGAGTCACGATCACAGGTTATCATGAAATATGGAAGATCATGGAAAATGATTATTGGGAATGAGCTTGTTGGTTCTGATAAAAAATTAAACATATGCAAGGACCCTTGCAGTATCACTCATTTATCCTGTCCTCTGTCCTGTGATTTGCTGCCTGCCTCATGTCCCTGTCAGTCAGTGTTAAAATTCTGCCATGTTCTTCTGTGTGCTGAACTGAACCTTATGCATGCTGCATCAATGTTACAATCTGTCTAAATACTTCAAACTAAGCAATAAACTAAAATATAAGACTATTTTTCACCTAAGTGAGATTTCTGTGCAACAAGAGACATGCTTGAGTGTTTATTAGATTAGCTCTTAACATGCTTTTTTAAAGTGCGTCATCCATTTATATCTTCATGTGTAAAGATTATATTTCCTAATATGTATATTTTGTATCCTCATCGTTTCTGTCATGAATGGAAGGTGAGAGGATGGAGAGCGGAAAGATAAAGGAGGATTTAAAAGGGCAGGCTAGGGACGAGACCTCACCACGAAAACACAATAACCACATCTGAAAGGAACGTCATGCCTTAAAGGGATTTCACAGCACAAAACCTTCTTCTTCATAAGACACTGGCTGGATTTGATGCCCATATGTGTGAAATTCTCTTTTAAAAGAGCCACAACTGTGGTAGCAAACTTCCTCTATGAGCTGATCCTCCAACAAATTTACTGACTTTGCACAACTATCGAGCATTAGCCACTGTTGCCTCTTCAATCAGCGTTTTCTAACGGTTTCACAGAAGCTTATAGGGGGTGGTGCGTCAATTGGTGAAGAATAAAACTGTTATTGCTAAATTGGCAGCCCTATAGCATGTAAAAAATAAGCAACGAGCATCACTAAGTGCTAATTATAACATACAAGACTAGTAATGTCTTTAACGATTTTAGACACTTTTTAAATGCACATTGCGAGTGCAGATGAGGAAAAGGAGAACTGTGTTATTGATTGCAGCAAACACGAAACAAAACTTACAAATTTACATCCTTTATTACCACTAAGCCCTGTTACATTAGTTATATTTTCCATTTACGGGTACTTTGTAAGATAAAAATGCAATATTTCTTTGACATTGCAAATGCATATACAGTACATATTCACACAACAGATCAAAACTTCATATATAGTAATTTGCAATAGCAGCAAACAAAGACATAGAAAATCAATAAATAATATGTTTTAAATACAGTATACATAACAAATCATATTGACTTCCACAAAAAATGTTCTTTAAGCAGACAGTAGGGATAAGAAATACTTATTATATTTACACAACAACATGTCTGCATTAATATCAAACTCCATCTCTGCTGCTCAGGTACACCTGATATAAGCAGTCCAGATTACAGTATGAGAATACTGTTTAAGATATGGTTGAGCAAATGATTGTTACAGCGGTTACTGTGTAGTGGTGCTGTGGTGTCATTGGCCCTCTTCAGGTGTTCACAGTGTTAGCAGCAGTCAGGAGTGAGGAGAACATAGAGTCCGGTCTTTGCTTCAGTACATCTGGACTGTCGAACTCTGCCGCCTGACGGACAGAACACTTACTGTAAGTTTGAGGTTTAGGATCACACAAACTTTATCTTTGCATATTTCTGTGTTTGTCACCTCTCCGTTGTCCATGACCAGAATACGATCGGTGTTCATCACGGTGTTGATACGATGGGCGATGGTGAGCATGGTACAGCTCTGGAAAGCTTCTTTGATGGTGTTCTGAATTAAGGTGTCTGTCTCCGCATCGATGGATGCCGTTGCCTCATCCAAAAGAATGATCTGTTGGAAAACAGTAGAGACAGTTTGTGTGGATGAGAAGAGTGGCTAAGAAGTGGGCGAGTTAACGGACCAGTGTGTATAATTTAGTGGCATCTGGCAGAAAGTTGCAGATTGCAACCATTAGAGTACAGCTCAGTCTTCCGAACATGAAGGAGAAACTACAGTGACTCACGATAACAGTAACACAAAAGGCCATCTACATACTTACCTATGAATATTATATTCTACTTCTGCCAATAGATCCTCCTAAATGTTACACCCTGGACCTTTAAGATTACATAGGGTAGAGAGGGTTTAGGGGGAAATTAGGTGTAACTGTACAGATTAAGATTTAAAACTGAACAAGAAAATAGAGAATAGTAATGATATAGTAAAAGAGTGCACAGCAAGTAATCACAGTAGCCAAAGAGCCAAAGTCGTTGATAATGAATTGATGCAAATGTGAATAAAGCACATGCGAGCACAAGCAGTTACTTCATTTGACTGGTTGCAACACACATATGGCTGTAGTAATCCACTGGCTGTTCAGAATCAGCAAAATTGGAAAGTGTGCAAATCAAAAGGAATCCGAAGAGGTGGACACATGCAAACCTTGGAGTTGCGGAGTAGTGCTCTGGCCATACACATCAGTTGTCTTTCTCCTACTGAGAAGTTTTCTCCATTCTCCAGCACCTGCGCCTGTAGTTTCCCCTCCAGTCTGGAGATCTGAGGAAACAAAACAATATTCATAGCACTACTTTTACTTTTGCTGTACATTAAAGTCCCATTAATGGAAGAGTTTGACATTTTGACAAATACACTTTCACTTTCTTGCTGAGAGTTAGATGAGAAGAGTGTGTGCAGTGTTTACTAGTAAGTAAGTACTGTACTTAAGTACTAATTTGAGGTACTACTTTACTACTTACTTTACAGCTTTATTTTATGATACTTTTACATTTCAGCAGGAAATATTGCATGTTTTTTACTACTACTACATTATTTTGAGAGTTACTGATACTTTTCAAATGAATATATATAAAACATTTGATGAAAATATAATGCGTCGCTCTAAATGTAACTACCAAACAGTAGGTTAATTAAATAGTCAAAACTAGCTCCACCTCAGTAAAATGGTATTTACACATAATGTATCAGTAATATTAATCCAGTAGTTTGCATTATACTCAAAAGGTGCATTTTTCTATTAGTATGAGTATTTTGAAGTACATAAGGCTGATAGTGCTTCTGTAAAAATGACTGTTAATATTATATTTAAAACAAGGGTTCCATAATGCTGCTACACCACCAAGACAGCCACTACCAGCACGACTGCTGCAACTTCCACTGAATGCGGATAATATTTCAATTTACAATATCATAAGTAGTTGTTGTTGTCTCTATTGTACCAAAGTGACTGCAAAGACAACATTCATAGACCAGTCACATGCTGCACGCTGGCTGACAAGATCTGGTCTGGATAAATGATCACACACTACTGTATAATAAAACAGCTGATGTACTGTGCTTCACATTGTACTGCTAACATACTGAGTCCTTCATGTAGGTCTTCTCCAGCGCCGCCCAGATCTCCTCATCAGTGTAGTTATTGAAGGGGTCTAGGTTGTACCTGTGAGCAAACACACATTATCACAGCTGGTTAACCAGTGACCCACCACAGTGAGAACAGTGTAAACACAAAGCTCTGTGCAGTTAGAGGTTTGCTAAGGTTACCTGACTGTGCCAATAAATAGCACAGGATCCTGGGGGATGATGGACAATTTGCTGCGCAGATCCTGCAGACCAATGGCCATAATGTCCACTCCGTCTATCAGGATGGTTCCTGCTGCCGGCTCCACCAGCCTGAACAGAGCCACGCCTAAAGAGGACTTCCCTACACACACAAAGCATGGAGTATCTAAGAATAGTAACTCTAATGGTTTACAGAGGAAGGGTTTCCTTCAGCATTTTGTTTGTATTCTGCAATCTTCGAAATTTACCTCCATGATAACTATTAATAGTTTATTTATTCAATCATTTTAATGTCTAGATTAACTTGACATTTTCTAAAATTGCCCACTTACACTAAACTCCACCTTTACCTGAGTCAGAGTCTTACCAGAGCCTGTCCTTCCCACAATGCCCAGCTTCTCTCCAGCTCGGATGAAGATATCCAGCCCGTTCAGGACAATGGGTGTATTCTCCCTGTACCTCATCTTATAGTCCTGGAAGGTGATGGCTCCGCTCTTTGGCCAGTCCTCTGAGATTTGAGACTCCTTTATGTGTCTGGGGGCCTCAGACTTACAATCCTATACACAATAAATAACAACTACTGTGAGCAAGCGCATAGGAGGGGTGTTGTGTCTTTATTTTTCTGAGGCAGAGAAGTCCAGATTCTGACCGTGATGTATTCCTGCAGCCGCTCCACCGAGTTAAACCTCGCCTCCACCTCCGTCGCCTGCCTCACCACATACTGAAGCATGCCTGTCAACTGGACAACACAGTCTGTAAAGACACATGTTGCAGGTGCTTGCAATGTGTCAGAGGTCCATTCATTTGCTGTACAAATTTACCTGTATGGTGTAGGACATGGCCAGGCCTTTCAAAGCCGGACTGATGATTTCTTCCTTGCTGAGCACAACGAACAGAGCCACCAGCAAGGTCATAGACGCAGCCATGAAGTCCAGCCAGAAGGAGAGCCAACGTGTCCCCGAGTGAAACAGTAAATAGTGGTTGGAGTTGATGTCATTCAGTGACTTGAACCTACAACATGACAAAGCACAGACCAGGGTTTTTGAACAATAACGCCATACTCCAGTGATCAATAAAACAGCATTTACAATGCATACAAAGGATCAGAGACACTGCGACTAAAACATGACCTGTTGCTTTTACCATGCATACATTTAAAGCAGAGAAGAATTAAAAGACAATCTTAGCAAGACTGAAAGGTCAACAAAACAAAATCAGCAAAAATATATAGCATTTCACCTTGAGGAACTCTGGAATCTTACTTTTTTATGTGGCTGTCTCTTATGTTGTAGGCGTGGATGGTGCTGAGGCCCTGCAGGGTGGAGGTGGTGAGAGAGATGCAGGGAGAGCGACTGATATTCTCCATCCTTTTCATCTGACGGATACTCCTCTGGAATATACTGCAGAGGAACCACAACTGATATTCAATACACCTTAATCAACTTTTGTCAATTGTTGCATGTCTTCATGCACAAAACCAGATTATGAATTTCTACAATCCTATTTTCCAACAGTCCCCATTGAAATTATTAGACTTATCAACAACTCACAAGAGAATGAGGGTGAACAAAGCTCCCATGACAACCACAGCTACCAGCATGGGGGGGAAGACAGACGAGATGATGACAATGGTGAAGGTGACCAGCAGGCAAAACTGCAAGAAAGGGTCCATATGGAGGGGAAGCACGGTGTCCACCTCCTCTTGATCTTTGGAGAAGCGGTTGAGGATGCGGCCAGTTGGTGTCGTGTCGAAGAAACTCATGGGACTTGCGATAATCTGAAAAAGGAAAACAAAAAAGTCTTCATTAACAGCGGCTCATTGGTAGCAACTGCATGTTACTGAAGCTTCTACCAGGCTTTAAAAGAAGTCACACTAAACATACTATCAGAAACAAACACAAACTTTTGATATCGACTTATGATGAGTAAACATGGTTAAATTAAAATTGTAAAGTGTGAGTGTTTAAATTGTTTATAGAAGACTGGCGGTTACCTTCTTGAACATTGTGTTGTGAAATTTGCAGGCGGCATTCAACGTGACCCGAGTGTAGAAGAAGCATTTGATGACGGCAAGTATGACCATGACAACCACCATCACACCATAAATAAGTTGGTAAAACGACAGGTCTGGGTTTTCTGAGATGTCGCCCTGAGGTGACGTCTTATTGAGTGTGGAAAAAAACAGAGAAAACACATGATGTTACTGGAGACCAGGGCCAGAGATAATCCATCAACACAATTTTTTTTAATCTACAATGATAATTTTTATGGCTGACAGAGATGTGATTACATCCAAATATATGTAGTTATCGTGTAGTGAATATTGGGTCAAATAAATACAATGTAAGACTGAAAAGAGTAAAATGTATAATTTGGATTCATAAGGTTCTCTTCAGGTGCGCATTGAATAAAAATCCCCATCACAACCCTTTAAGGTCAGATAACAATAGTCCGGCCTGCCATGCTACTGTGTTACTTGTCCTGCACACTATGATCAACTGTGTTGTGCTATTTAGATAAAGCTGAGTTGAGATGGGAATTAAATAAAGACACAGGGTAGGTATAGGAAGAGTTTATATCCTTCCTGGCTGTCCTGCAAAACTTCATGATTTGTGTCACACCCGTTCTGGGTTGTGAGTTTTGCAAAAGATTGGGTAACACATATTACGTGAACTATTGACTGCTCTCAGATTGTCCAAACAACATGCTCGTTGGAGCAAGTCTTTATTGTTTCCGGTGGTGGGAAGTCACACATCCACTGAGAACACATTCACATTTCAGGTGTGAGAGACAGATAGATAGAGAGAGAGAGAGAGAGAGAGAGGGAGAGAGAGAGAGAGAGAGAGAGAGAGAGAGAGAGAGAGAGAGAGAGAGAGGGAGAGAGAGAGAGAGAGAGAGAGAGAGAGAGAGAGAGAGAGAGAGAGAGAGAGATGGTTCTCACCCCATTACCCTTCCCCAGCCAGAAGCTGAGCCACCAGTTGCTGAAGGCTGTAGATCCGATCATCAGGACGATGTTCAGGATGGTGAGGAAGGTGACGAAGTAGCCTGCAGCAAAACAGTCACACCAAACATCATCAACTGAATTGGGCATGTGTGAATTGTGTATTATTGCACAGAATCATGCCAATGCCGACGTGTGTACTGTATCAGACCTCCAGCTGCCTGGCAGTATTGATGGTAGACTCTCCAGGAGATGGAACCTTCTGTGGAGGTCTCCTGACTGACCAGCTGGTCACCGACTGCAGCTAAAGGGGAAGGGAAGGATTTTATAAAATCATGGCACAATTAGAGTGACTTCCATTTGCATCAGTCTGGCAGAGTGAAAAGCAGACCATCACAGAACAGGGCAAGATGTGATAATCGTTTAATTATAGGGATAATGGCGCACTTAGTTTGTTGTAAACATGAAAAATGACAAAATGCTGTGTAGTATCTTGAGAGAGACATTCAAACCCAGCTTACGTTCTCACCTCCACACACCATGCCAATCAGTGTGGTAAGTGGCTGTGAATGTGACTTTATCGGTTTCAGAAAATTACAGAAATTTTCAGACACAGCCGTCCCCAATTCCATTGTCAGAAAGGTGGTCACTCAACAAGCGCTTCTGTTGAAGCATACATGCCCACTTAACTTTGGCTTTCCCACATTAGAATGGGCCTGGATATGAACTAGACATCTGAACATTTTGTAGACTTACATTTTTGGTCAGCTGTCACTCCATCATCCTTTTCATCTGACATGTCAAATGCTGAAAGAAAGCACAGATGGTGGGGAAAATATTAATACCACGACAGGAATCATCTCCTTACTGCAGATTCTAATAAAGGCATTAAATGTTAAGTTGATGTTAAGTATATTGACAGTCAGAACTGCAGGTGTGTTGCTCTGTTTGGTATTGTTTCACAAAGCTTTGTGATCATTGCCCCCTGCTTCTTTCATCCAATGTCTCTTTGTTTCCTCCATGGACCTTTTACCTCCTGGTAATATTGGCCCCTTTACAAGCCCACACACAGTATGACAGTATGTTGCAAACTATCCTACAATATCCCATTGTCTATGTTCTGACTGTCTCTACTCTCTGAACTGCTTTTAGGGATCTTTGTACTAAAGTCTGTAATGAGCAGCACCCTTATTTTCATTTTAAGGAGTCTATAAAGATGAATTGAGGTATCATAAATGATCCAACACTGTATCATTTTTTTTGGATCATTAAAACTTTTTCCTGGTTTCCATACCTGGGTTTACTATACCACTGTCTGCGCTATCTCTTAGCTCAACTTCCTTCAGCTGGGCAACGTCTTGGGGTGACACTTCATCCTCCTCTTTCTGAGTCTGTAAATGATAAGCAAAAACACAGTGATACCGATACAGTGAGTCTGCTGCTGACAAGTTTAAAATAAGTAGATGATAAACTGTTAACTTATCTTAAAAAAATATTGTCCCTTGTTTTACAGCCAACCTTTTTTTAATTGTTTTTGAGCTAGTAAAACAATAAAGAACTGGTGAGAATAGCAGAGCTACAGTACATCTGAGTTTATTTTTTTTTTTTTTACTTTGGCCTGTTCCATCTGGTAGTTGCTGATGAGCTGAGCGTAGCGTCCATTGGTCTTCATCAGGGCCTGGTGGTCTCCAGCCTCCCGCACCTCACCATCCTCCAGCACCAAAATGTCATCACAGAACTCCAGATACTGACAGACATAAGGACAAGCATGTCAATAAAACCATCCCGGCACTGTGGCCACAGGTCTAACCAACAGCACATGTCCATATTTATTTATGGCATTTCACAGACGCTCTTATCAAGAGTGACTCACTGCTTACAATTCATGATGAAGATAATATTAGCGGCAGCAATCAGACACCACTTCCTGATGTGTGATTTACTTTGTGATCACACGTGATTTTGAATATGTTATTATGAATGCGTTTGCACATTTGTTTGCTAAAGCTCTTAGCTATTTAGGATTCATTATCTGCTGTACAATAGAACTGTGTCTATCTCCCTACCTGCAGCTGGTGTGTAACCAGTATGACGGATTTTCCCTGCAGCTCCTTCTTAATGCATTCTTCAAAAATGTGCTTCCCCACATGGGCATCGACAGCAGACAGCGGATCGTCAAGGAGGAAGATGTCCTTATTGGAGTAAACAGCTCTGGCCAGGCTGATCCTCTGCTTCTGTCCCCCTGACAGATTCAGCCCTCTTTCTCCGATCTGCCAACAAAAAATGGCAGAAAGAATTTAAAATCGGCTTTTCACTTTTTCTAATTTACACCAATGTAAAATAAAAAATAAACATTCCACACATCTTTGCAAAAACACAGGGTGCAGGTGCATGAAGATACTGAAAGTCAAAACAAGTACCCACAGCTTCAAATAAACTCATTAGTTTAGCTTGGAATTTACCCCAAATTGAGTTTCAGAGTTGGTTATGTTAAACCAATAGACCCGGTGTCTTAGTTTTGACTCAGACATGACGACTGATTTATGTCATGCAATAGTTAGTGTACTTTGCACAGTAGATTATTGTTCTTTCTCCCTGAACATCTAGTTTTATATTAACTTTCATGGAAGATTTGCACTTGAACATAGTGTGAAGTAACACAATTGACACAGTGAACTTGCAGTAATTAACTAAAGTGCAATGCTAAAATGGGCTTCAAGGGAAAAAGCAAGGAATGTGAATCACTGATTGTTCCAACTAATGTTTATGTGTTTTTATTAGTAATAGAAACCAAATAACACACACCGTAACATGGCATAATCTAGTGTTTGAATGGTTGTAGACTAATGATCAGCTTGAGGGAAAAAAGTTCCTTCCTTCTATTGAGTTGTCTCAGAGCTCAAAACTAGTGGTCAATGGATATGAGTTTTTCAATGGCCTGCTCTCTATATTTAGAGAGCAGGGCGAGTCTAGTGTATATTAACCTTTCCTACAGTAGTTACTACATACATAATGGTTACAGCACAACTACAGCCCTAACAACAGTCATAAATGCCAGTTAGATGGCATGACTCATCTAAATACTGTACACAGGTCAGCAGTCTGGCTTCTTGACATCTGTAGCAGAATATTGAGGCTTGCCAATGATAAATGCACACTACAATCTTGGTTATCTTAACCAGTACAATGTGGTTTTCTTTTTAAATAAATGAAATAGAAAAATACATTGGGTTATGCCATAGATGTCAGAAGAATGTGTTTAATATAAGGGGGAGCGGAGTATGTCAGAAGTGAGGAAACTTCATTATTGCATATAATTGTGTCTGAAAGCTGGCTGTGAACCAATGCTGATTATCTCAAGATGCCAGATAATTGCCAACTGATTAATTGGTCTATCGCTACTCAAGACCACCAAGCATTTCTACAAGATTGCTGTGGTTCATGAGGAAACAACTTAAAAGAAAGCCTTGTTATTTTGGCACTAGACTATATGAGCAAGTCTCTGAAATCCAAGCCAGACACAGCTAAGCACCACAGACCACCAGTCTGGTTAGTGCTCCTTCTTAGCAATGAATTGTTTACATTTTACATGTTTACAAAGGGCATCTTACCACACATCAGAGGGTGTAAGTGTTAAAGGTTCAACTACAAGAAATCATTCAGAAACATAAAAACATTCAGTTTGGAAAGTTGAGACAGCAGCAGAGAGCTCCTACCTCCGTCTGATCACCATATGGGAGGATTGTCAGGTCAGCTCTGAGGCTGCAGACATCCACAACTCTTTCGTATCTGTGGAGGAAAACAATAAATAAAAAAGTCAGGGGACAGCCAAGTATACTGTATTCAACATGGCCATTCTGAAGACCATTTTGGTTATTTCATTTAGTTTACTTCATAAGAAAAACAACAGAAATGTGATGCATCATTTTGGAAAAAAGTCTGCAAAATACATCAAGAGATACACAATTCTGTCCTCAGTAAATGTAAGATTTTGCGTGCAGCCTCTTGTGCATCTTGATATATTTAATATGAACACATACTGTCTGTTACCATCTGTAATCATAAGCAGGGGCTACTATTGTTTTTACATACTTATCCATTTTGGAATAATCCCTTTATTCTGTGTATATTATATACTCACAGCCTATTTCTAGTTTGACTGTTTCTGCACAGACAATGCACATGAGAGAGAGTCAAAAGGACAAAGGCTCAGAAATGCAGCATAAATACCAGCTACACCACATGACTCATCAAAATACTGCACACAGGTCAGCAGTCTCACTTCTTGCCATCTCTTGCAGCATAGCGAGGCTTCCCAATGATAAACCTGTCAGATAACAGAGATGACTTCTGCTCTTATTTGACAACCTTGCCAGATGCGAACTCACAGAGATAAGAGGAACTTTCTCCCAGTTTAACATTTGTCACGTGAGATAACCTTAAAAGGAAGATCCAAGCCTGATTTTACAGGCCTGTGTCTCTAGAGCAAAAGAGAACAGTAGTAACTTATTCACTTCACATACGGTATCCCCTTAGTTAATAATACATAGTGGGTTAAGTGATCAATTACTTGGTCTGATCAAATGGTTCCCCCATCAGGATGTTTTCTTGAACAGTTCCATGGAATATCCAGGCCTGCTGGGAAACATAGGCAAATGTCCCATCAGCTGTCAGGGAGCCCTGCAGAAGATGCATCTAAAATACAGAAAATGCAGAAAATGCATGAGAAACGCTGTATGTTAAGGAGCATCAGTTAAAGGTGCTGTAAGTGAAATCTGCATTTCCTGTCCGTTCTTGCAGTTAGCAGTGCCCTGTGTCTTCTCAACATCAACACACTGATACTGCCAAACATTATGTCAGAGACTTGCAATGATGGTAAAAGAGAATAAATTGCAAAAAAGACAAACCTGTTCCAAAATGCTGGAAATCAGTGATGTCTTTCCACTTCCCACATTCCCACAGACACCAAGCAGGTTGCCCTTCAGGAAATAACCCAGAGTAAGTTTACTAATCTAACCTCAATCATTAACCATTCAATAATCTGCATCAATGGTAAAGGACACCTTAGGCAGTGTGAAGGAGATGTTCCTCAGGGCTGGCAAGGTTTCAGTCTTCCCATTCTGGGACATCTCATCCACTTTGTGTCCAATCACCCCATTGGCTGAGCCGGGTGGCGAGTCTGGCGAGCTGTATGGTTTGGTCCATGAAAGTGTGGCGTTTTTCATCACTATGGCCGAGCCACTGTCTTCCCTCAGCATCAGGTAGGGCTCTGGATTCTGGATCAGCAATATTTTCTGAAACAGCCACACATTGCATTCATAAGCTTTTTCACGTTTTCGAAGTTGAGAGTTTAATTGCAAACGAGATCCACAACAGCAACAAATTATGTTTCAAATAAATAAGGATTAAAAAAAGCCATGTTCACGTATCACTACCTAGGTAAGATATTACAACCTTGCACTTTGTATTGCTGGATCATGTCACTGCAAAAGAGTGTTAATGAATAATACAGCTAATAATAAAATAATAATAACTGCTGTCCAGGACTCAAAGAGAATAGTTTACCCTCAGTCGTGTCAGTGAAACAGCAGCCTCAGCCAGGGACTTCACAGACAGGGGCATCAAAGCCAGGCAGAACCTCATGGAGTTGAAGATGGCAATAGTGGTAAAGGCCTGTAATGATTGAATAGCAATCAGAGATTCAACACTGACACTGACTTATATTGGTTTTAAATTGACTACAATGCTCTCTGGTGCACACAAACAAACAAAGGAAAAATAGTGTATCAACAATAACCTAAACACATATTTTATGTCTCAGAACCCTACATATTGTAACTAGACAGAGCTTTCTGTTCTGTACAATGACTTACAGACTTCTCTCTATGTCCTGTTTTTCAATACATCTCTATTAACCACTGAAATGACACACTAGGCATGTTGACAAAGGTTGTATACGCTGCACTGCTGTGGTACTCACATCGGACGTGCTGAGACCTAGGCCCAACAAAGTGTGTACAATGAAGGTGAGAACGGTGGCGAGGGTGGGAATGATGCTGGTGATGCTGGTATTGATGTTCTGGACATAGCTGACACTCTGTAAGTGTTTCTTCTCAGTTTTCCTTAAGCCTACGAGAGAAACAGCATCACAGGTTTGGAAAAGACTTGGTTTTTACATTTACATCTCCTGGTAAACGTATTAGACCCTTGCTGCTGGAGCCACCCAGTCAACATTTCAGCAGTTGTGAAGACCCAGGGCTGTGTGGAGTCCACTCCAAAAATAATGTACTAAACTATTATATACTAAAATACTTATAAATCATATTCAACTGGACAATGTGCAGACATGGACAAGCCCCACATCCAACAATTGGCCATTTATGTTCAAAACAAATATGTTTTGAATATTAATACAGGTGCATGAGCGCAAGGGGGAGGTCAAGAAGCCATCTTAAAACCAAACAAAAGTTTGAGAGTCAGAAGGTTGCAGAAACTTCTAATGAAGTGAGTTCAACAAGTAGGGCAGTTCCTGACAAAGGAAGCTAGAAGCCAAGACGCACATTGCTGCACACAGAAAGAGCATGGACTGGTGGAGGAGAAGGCCCAATGGAGCTTAATCCATGGTACTTGTTTTGCATGCATTTAGGGAAGGAGGTGCAGGTTAGGTGGCATGGTGGTGGAGAGTATATGGCTGCTGCCTCTGCCTCTGATGCCTCCTACAGAATGGCTATGTGTTCAAAAGCTAATTAAAACATACTGTTTCGTTTAAAGGTCTTCATCATGGTGCCAGTTTCCACCATCTACAGATTCACATACAGGTGAGCATGTTTTCCTTTTTACTTACAGAAATCCCAAATTTTGGACCACGAAACATGTTGTTTTGTTTACACAAAGGGGAAATATACATGATATTGATAGAGAGTCCACTTCATACCTGCAATCTTTGTCTCAAAGGAATCTTCCCAGGCGTACATCTTGATAAGTTTGATGCTGTTGAGAATCTCATTCATTGTGCGAACGCGGCTGTCTGTTATCAATATAGCTTTCCACCTGAATTTGTTAATGAGCTTGGCTAGGAAAAACTGAAAGCAGAAAAAAGAACGATATTAATATTAATGATAATGGAAAACAAGCAGCAAATATAGTAGTATAGTATAGTAATTTAGGCCTATCCTTGTGGCTGAACTACTTAAGGAAAATATCCTGTATAACATGGAAAGCATTAAATATGTGCCTACAAGTAGCTAATTAAAATACAGAAAAATAGGGTGAGGAAAAATCTGAAACCCATACTTTTCACTGCTAATTGAAATACGTCCACGTATGATGTGCAGTTTCTAAAGTACAAACCTGTATGGGGATGAAGATGAGGTAGGTGCAGACTCCAGTCAGTGCAGTGTAGCCCAGAATATAGCAGGCATAGACGATACACACAATAAAGAGGACTGGGGCACACAGCACAAAGCTTCCAAACAATACTGCCTCAAATATTCTATGTCCATCGTTGGTCAAAACATTAATCATCTGGACGAGAGAGAGAGAGAGAGGTAGAGATTGTATTATGCAAAAGGTCCCCTATAACCCCAATTACATGCACAGGTAGAATGCTCTGGTTGATAGATAGATAGATAGATAGATAGATAGATAGATAGATAGATAGATAGATAGATAGATAGATAGATAGATAGATAGATAGATAGATAGATAGATAGATAGATAGATAGATAGATATACTTTATTGATCCCAAGCTGGGAAATTGTGTGGTTTTATGACTAATTCTCAAATCCTTTTTTGAAATTATAGTCAATCACATAGTAAATGGGTAAACAACTGAACCTTCCTAAGTTCTGCTATTTTAGGAACCTTGGTCAACTTTCTCCTTTCCTGTACTTCCTTGTGCTCGGCTTGTCTATGTTGAAAAGACAACCAAATTTTGAAGTTGGTTAAAAGATAAAACTGGCTTATATATATATAGCCACATCTTAAGTTAGCTAACACAGTATTTAACAAGCATCAGCCCTCATGCATGTAACCCAGGCTTTACCTCTCCCATGGAAATGCCGCTGTGCACCCGGAGGGATATCACTTTCTGGAAGGCCATTGAAGAGAAGGCACCCTTCAGTCTGACTGCAGTGCGCAGGTTTAAAGCCCACAGCAAAGATATTAGGAAGGCTTTGAAGAACTCTGAGGTGAACAAAGCGAAGGCCAGACCAACACCGTGGGACGTTGTGGACAACTCTGGGTTATCAGTATAATTTAGTATCTGATAGACCAGAACAGCCTGCAAGGACAGAGAGGTTTGTAACACTTAATGAGAGAGCATCACACATTAACATTGTTTTTCTGCCATTGATAAAATCCTGCATGAATATACATTGCATTTCTCTTTTCTGGGCAGTGCCACCAACTACTGTAGTTTGTGGTAAAGACTGACAGTGTTGTAAAGTAAATGTAAAATACATTTACTCATGTATACTTAAGTACCATTTTGAGTTGCTTGTACTTGCATTTCTAAAGATTAAAGCATCGATTACAACATTTTTGTTTGTTTGTATGTTTTAAGCTCAAAGAGGCAAAATCACCCAATATTTAACAAAAAAAAGCAAGATTGGAGAGAAGAACTTCAGGTTTTTTCTTCTTTCATACCCCATTAGTCATCTCAACCCCTCCTATTTAGCCTGTGACCCTTTAATAGGCACCTGACGCCTATGATGGTAACCTATAGATTAAACTACCTAACTGTATGCATTATAAAGGAGCTACTCTATTCGCCGCCCCCAGTTGAAACAGAAAGTATGAATTGGCCTTTACTTTTTATACTTTAAATATATTTAGCAGATAATACATATGTAGCCTAGTAAGGTTTTGAATGGTTCCCCCTCCACATTGACAATGAATGTGATATTAGGACATATTCTGAGGAGGCCACTGGATGCGGCCGACAGAAGAAGCACCGGCTGATACTAAAATTCAGAAAAAAATTACCGGGCCAAAAAATGCTGCCACCATGGAAAGGACCCCAATAATGACAGACACAATCAGCCGGGTTCTTTGAAAGCGAAGGATCACCCGAACCAGAGAGGCCTTCTCCAGGCCCACCTTTTCCACTTCTTCCTCCCAGAGTCTGTGGAGCCTGTGCAGCACACACAATCAGAGTCCACACTATCAGCTTTGTTAATTTACTACAAAAGTAAAACAGTAAAAATGCTCATAAAATGCACTTTACACATTCCGTTTTTAATAGTTCCTTAGTATTTTTATGATTCCGTTTCACGATATGAGTTTCAACAGCTAGACTTGTCACATGTCAAATGTACTGTACTGTCAAACAGAGACATGTGACACCCCTGTGAATCAGCAAGAAGATTGTGAGACCTTTCTCCACTGGTGTGGGCAGCATCCAGAGGAGACAGGTTGAGAGAGCTCAGGTCCAGCTTATTCCTGAAAATGGCCCACATCATGTGGGTCATCCAGGCAAAGGTTGTAAAGGACAGGAAACCCGCATTGTCCAGAGGGTGGGACCTAGACATGGAAACATCAACCAATATAAGATAATATAAGTACAGTCTGTAAACATGTTCAAAAAATATTCAAATTCGAATTATATTTAAGTGCTCTGAAACATCAGTGACACTGACTGTGATGAGGAGCAGCGGAAAGGTTTGAGGGTCTGAAGGCTCTGGTGGTATTTTCTGAATCGAGAAGGGTCCGCTGTTTCACTTTTATCCAAATCAGTATGTTCTGGACCGGAGGCCACAGATTCAGTTCTCCGTCGGAAACCATCTTCCTTCTTAAGAGTCATAAATGCAAAGAGACAGAGTGAAGGAATCAGACAGAAAGGAAAGAGTTAAACAGAGTAAGAAACAGAGAGTGCCTCTTTCTCAATATTCCAGCCAAATACTCACAGAAAGTGGATCAAAGACATCCACAACAAAAACACAGGATGTGGGAGAAACAATAGGAGGGGAGACTAAAGCAACATGCACAAGCAGAGAAAGCAACATGTGAAGAGGTCAGGAGAATGCTGGTGGAAGCTGCTGTTTGTTTTGTACTTACAAAAGAGACTCCTTGAGTATCGTTCTTCTCCAAAGAATACTCTGTCGTCTTCATTTTGTCCTGTACCGTGGACAGTAGGCAAAGAAAGACACAGTTAAATCAGCCAGCAATATATTTTAAGTATAGTATAAGTAGAAACATTGCTTGTGGTATGCATGCAGTATGTAGCTGGAGGCTGTAATCATTTCTCATTCTGCCATCTAACATGTGTATATACAAACCGATCATTATGTGTTTGAATAACACATTATAACACAATCGTCATTCATCCTATGAGTTGCTGTAAGCATTCATGATGTATTAGGATGTGTTACATGTATTATAACTGATGTTTTGATTTGATACATTGTTATATACTGTCTGAGTCTGGTATTTTTATGATTGTGTAATGTATTGTGCTGTGTGTGTTGTTCTGTTTGTATTTTCTCTATTTATTTTATTAGGGACTGCGGATGCAAATTAGCAGCTTTGCTATAATCCGGCATGTTTACAGAGATGTTATATCGATGTCACAGGGCATTACAAGTGTGATCAAAATACTCACAAATGTACGGATATCCCATGAAAGTGTATGAAATCTTGCAAACAACACCAAAAAAACGACTTTAAGATAGCATGGTAAACCAAAACAGTTGTTTACGTAACAACTAAAACAACAGCTCTGTTCAACAGGACCTCATAGCTTACACGAAAACACAGTGTCAATGAATTACAGCAGCCCTCGTCCTATCTGCCTCTCACCTCCATCCAAACTGTTTCAAAGTTCTCACTGTACAGCCAAATAAATGCACCTTCACAAAGATGAGTCCATGTGACCTTTGTTGCTGCATAGTAAAATACACAAAAAGCTGAAAAAGCAATACTCTACAGTCTTACATGCAAAGTGGATGGAGTAACTCTGATCAGTTGTTCCTGTACGTGTTCATGTGTCATGAGGTTAGGTGAAACAATAATACATGGTAGATATAAAACACAGACCACCAACAGCTAAAGAAACACAGCCACAGGCAGTACCACAAACAGAGAACTGCAGGGTGACAATGACACAGCTCTTCTGTCATACGTCCTGAGACCACATCTGTTTTGATAATCAATGAAACAGATGTTTAAAATGTCCTCTTTCCCCTCAAAACATCCAACATTCAGACAGAACAGATTTCAGCACTATATTTCAAACAAATAACAGCTGAAATATATGCACAGCTGTGAAAGGGTAACAATGAATCACTATCATTATTCTGTTATTCAAGTAAGTTAAATTAGACCAAACCCTAACCTTAACTCTAAAACCAATTTAAACTGAAGTTACTAAATCTGAAATTAAGTGACATAAACAAGACCTAAATCAATATAACTGAATGAAAATACACTTAAAAAGACTACAGTAACAAACTAAACTGATCAAACTTACTAAAACTGAGTGAAACTCTTGCTGTAAAGAAGCGAAATGGAACAGTACCTCTGTGTGGAGGATAAGGAAGACTCACTGCGGCTTGTTGATACTGAATCTAAAGCTGACACTGGAGCAGCTTTTTACTCTGTGTTACACAAGTCCTTTTATAGAGATCAAAGGTTTGCCTGTTCAGAGGTAAATGTCCCTCCTCATCCTTGGAGGACAATATTATCAGACTGCCAAACCAATTGAAGTAAGGGGTTAGGGTTAGGGTTATGGTTAGGGTTAAACAATTCAGTTACATAGGAGTAAATGATAAAGATTGGGGGCTGTGACAAAAGTTTGTGGAAACCTAATTTAGACTGTGTAATTAAAATTAAATAATTAAATTGAGGAGCCTCTTTAGCCAGAGCCAGTGGCCGAAGGATGGTCACTCATTCACAGCATCCTGTCAGCGACCCTGGAAGGTAATGAGCTGGCAAGAAAAGCTGGAATGCAATGGCAACTAGGTCATAGATCACCTGTGGATCACCCTTTTGCATCTCCCGGACTGACCAAGCCCTTCTGCCAGCAGCCGTGACTGAGGGGGCACTGTGGTGTGTATCAGGAGGCATTACACCAACGTTACATGTCAAAGTCAATTTACTAGTCAGGGAGAAGCACATACATTTTTAATGTAGAGCCTGTGTTATGTGCAATGCTTTCTAGTTGCATTATGGGAAGTGTATTTTTTTAGAGAGTCAAGGTATGTCCTGCATTAGTTTAGACTTTTTAAAGTCCCCCCCCCCCAACACACACTCCCTGGGGCCCCAGGGAGCTGTGGGACCATAAGCTGCTGCTTAGGTTGCTTATAGGGAGAGCCAGCTATTTATATTGTCAGGAAAAAAACAAAATCATTTCCTAATTAATCAATTATTTGCTTTTTGTCTATGTAATGCCAGAAAATAACAACAATTGTCATAAGATGAGAGCCCACTGTGATGTCTTAATATTCATGTATTTTGTTATAGCTGCTAAAGAGATATGTGTGTGATTTATGCAAGGAACTATAACATCATGAATTATTTATCATTACTACAAGGCACTAGAATCTATAATTCATTTACCTTTGCTCCTGTTTTACCTGCCAGTCTGGTAAGATGGTACACACTGACTGTGAGTTTTTACTCTTCATTCACTTGCAATATAGCTTCATTTTCAGGATTCAGTCCACAAAAAATGTACAGACATTTTTAATTTATGCAAAAATCCAAACACAATTTCCCCAGGGTATTCTTCTGTCGTGTCAAGGGGAACAACTGAATGGGACAATAATAATTACTTAATAAATTCAAGTGACAGTAATAATGAGTAAACAATTTAACTATTAACAGTGTTTTGTTTCGTTCAGTGATACTTCACAAAAAAGGGGCTGTAGGTTTGAAAGCAGGGTGTTGAAAGTTCGTAGTTCACATCATTTACAGTGTACTCTTCTAGTCCTACTTTCACCAAAATATAACCAGTTCAAGGATTCCATTTGTCGCACAGTGATCCTCCAAGGGATTCTCCTGAGCAAACCCATTGTGAAGGGTAGGCCAGATTGAACTGCTGCAATATTCCTAACTGATCGAGTGACTGTAACTCACTTGCCTTGCCCTACTGTACTATTCAGTAGCCTACCTGTAGGGTTTTCTCCAGAAGCTCTCCACCTGCTGGATGCATGCTGCAGCTGTAGGTGGGAGGAAAGAACCCCTCCAGGGTTCCTGTTAAAAGTCTCATGTTTATTCAGAAGAATCGTCACCACTTGCTGAACGTTGGAATCCAGTTGGAAAAAGAGAAACCTTGGCAGACAATCCATGTTATGGGAGAGCAATGTTAAATCAGTGAAGTACTATTATTAATAATACTATTAATAATATTCACATGCCACCCCACTGTTAACTGTCCTTTCTCTCTCACTTTCCCGACAGTGGCTCTGCACTCCAGCATCTGGGTGAACAAGTATAAATTCTTCTTCCTTGTCAGTCTTTGTTTTATCTTTCTTTATCCACATCTTCCCCCGCTCACAAACCAATTGGACTATGTCTTCACCCGCCACCGTTTTACTTTCATGTCTCTCATCACTACTTGGTGTCTTATTCTATCCCCCTTCCCTCTGTTCAGACACAACCCACCCGTGCTACCCGTCATAACCTCCGCTCTCTCCCCATTGACCTCTCCTCCTCTGTTCTCTCATCTCTCCCCCAGCCTGAGTCCCCTGAAATTCCTCTTCTTTCTACTGGGTCCTCTTCTCAAGCCCTTCTCTGGCCCGTCACCTTCAGGCCTAACTCTTGTTCCTTTTGAGTTTGAATGCTTGTATTGTAAGTTGTTTTGGACAGAAGTAATCTAATGAATATGATGTCATGTAGAGTCTAGTAGAGCTGGACTGAACGGTACAGAACACTGTATTGATACAGCTCTCAGTGACTTGAGTTTATATTGGAGCAAATGGATAAAATTGTGATCATACAACAGGTTTGGCAAGTTCTGTAATTTTTATTGTTCTTACAGTTTCTTTCGTAATGGCTGTGAAAAATGTTTTTGGGCAAGAGCAAGTCACATGACCTTGTGTCATGTTTGGGGCTAACGCAGCAACAAAGTGTCCTCTACAGCAGAAGCTTTCAAGGGGAGCTGGGCATTCCGTAGATGTGATTGGTCTTGCAGTTGTGGTGTAATTAGATCCTCCATATGATCTCCACTGAGTTCAAAATACTAACTTCACTGTCATTACTGACATTATTTACACTAACAGGGGTTATTTGTTTTACTTGGAATACAAATACTGCGATTCAAAGTCCTTGTACAACCGATGTGCCAGCTGAAGCGGTACACAAAAGGGTTGTCATTCACAACAAATGAACACTTTGTCTTCTGAATACCACAAAATACACATTCTGCTTAGAGTGCAAATATCGTTTCAAAGATGATCTATTTTGAAAAGGAGAGTACGGTTGCTGTATTTTTCATGCTGGATGTTCCATGTAAGTCCCATAAGCTTTCATTTCAGGGGATGGAGAAGATATCCATAACTTAATATTGGACCATCTGGCATTAATTCAATTTAAAATGTATTTAATTTTACATGATGAAGTGCAAAAGACTGACATGTATGAAAAAGTCTATGAAAAAGTGAGTGCAAGTGGCACACAGTGTAACATGGATGGTCTTTTTTGTAACACTGTCGGATTTATAGATGAATTTTGTTCCACAAGAGCCAGTAACAGCAAGTTAAAATTAAACAGGCTTGCTCTTTGTAAAAAACACAAAAACAAAGTTGCAGGCTGGCCCATGCTGACACCTTATTAAAAGGAAGCATGCTGTAACATTGTAGGATTTACACCAGGACCTTCTCGATTCTGTTGAATTCTAAGATATCTAATTACGATCATTCTTGGATGTTGTGCTGCAATGTGTGATAGTATCTGGTGGTAGGTAACACTTCTTTTGTTGGGCTCAGAGACTTACATAACATTTTAATACAGAGTAAATTTTATGCATTTTTGTACATTCATATTCTGTGTATGTTTGAAGGGCAGATACAAAGGAGTCAGTATGACCATATGACATGATAGATAGATAGATAGATAGATAGATAGATAGATAGATAGATAGATAGATAGATAGATAGATAGATAGATAGATAGATAGATAGATAGATAGATAGATAGATAGATAGATAGATAACTTTATTAATCCCACAATGGTGAAATTCACTTGTCATTATTGTTATTGTCATTATTTATTTAATCACATGAGTGTATATGTTTCTTGCTGACGACACTGTGGCTGAGAGGCTCAAAGCAATAATTCAAATTTGTTGGCAAGCTGCACGTTCCACCATTACACCTCAGCCCTTAACAGCTATCACACACGTCTGAGCCACTGCACCACCGTCATGCTGGTCTGTGTTCGTCAGCAGGGATTTGTGGTACGTATCTGTTCAGACAGTACTCTGCATCGTGGTTACAGTTTAATTCAGCAGGGCTGTGGTTGTATCAGAGAGGTGATGTTATGGTGTCTCAGTCACAGAAAAACCTGTTATGTATTGTGACGCATTCTTGGTTGATGGTTAGTGTTAGGTCTGTATTTGATAGGGAGTACTCCAAACAATTAAAGATTTCTAGGGGGAAAACAGTTTAGTCAGTGAGAAGGAAAATAAATGAGGTTCATGATTAAGGATTACTAACCAAATAGTCATTTCAACACCGTGTCTAAAACACATTAAATTGCAAGTAAAATTTAATTAACAAATTCAGACATGTCCAAAAAAGGAATCTGATAGGTAAGGTAATAATAAGGTAATAATAATATGAAAATAGAGCTAAGCATGTATAAATATGTATAAATATATGTGCATTTATTTGTGTATAAACACTTATTTTACTCCAACACTTTTTTTATTCTACATTTATTATTTAAAAAAAAAAAGAAATCCCCTGAAATACGATCAACAGTATCTCTTGATCATACAGCCACAAAGATCTCCTGTGATAAACAGCTTTATAAAGTGTGTGCATGACATGTCTTAAAGCTGCAGCAGGTTTTTTTGTTTTTTGTTTTTTCTGAAAGTTTCACTATATCCTGACACAAGTACATGACACAGATAACCTCCGAAGAAATCTGGTTCTTCTTCTCCTCCTCCTAGTGCTCCTAATGGCATTTACGATGGCCCGGTGGATTCTTGCAAATGCCGTTAGGAGTGGTAGAATGAGCCAGAGGAGCCTGCCTGATGTACTCCTGTCAGGATATAATGAAAGCTCCAGTGAATATGACAAAATATTGTTTTTATAGAAATCACCTACAGCAGTTTTAAGTTATAATTGATACTTGACCCCAGGATTCACAAAGAGACAGACACACACACACACACACACACACACACACACACACACACACACACACACACACACACACACACACACACACACACACACACACACACACACACACACACACACACACACACACACACACACACACACACACACACACACCAATTAAATGTAGCTAAATGTTGTGCCTGTTGTGTACCATTTAATGTTGCTACTGTGACAATGAGAATACCATTACCATATGTATCCAGCAGATGGCAACATTGGCTATAGCACACAATATCCTTAATCAAACAACTTTCTCCACGACTAGGTATACTTGTTATGTATTATACTTGGCACAGTCTATAAAAACCTGAGACTAATTTAACACAAACAGATTTTTAACAAGTACAAAAATCTTTGTTTATAAAATGGAAGTCTTTCTGACAACAAAGACTGATGTCAGGTATGTTTGGCCATGTCAAAACTGAGCTGAACAAAACAGGAGAAAAAAGTGTTAAGTGAACCCAGATTACTGCTGCCTCCACTTCACTGTACATCATGCTCACTTATGAGTGTGTTACAGAGAGTTTAAGGTTTTATCCATCTTAAAGTAACTAAACTGTTGTATCTACCCTGTCTATCTTACCCTACAGTACAGGTTATGTTTCCAAGAGTTTTAGCAATAGAAATCCAGCCCATGCTTATGCTTCTCGTCCAAGGAGTTGTTTTGGTGATCTGTGTCAGATTTAAACGTGGCCCTTCTCTGGAGCCCGGGGCTTTGATGAGAAGTGAAAAGGGGAGGCCCGGAGCTGTGTGGTTGATACTGTGTGAATGTAGTGGCCTCCTCTGGAGCCTGAGAGGGCCAGTCAGGAGAAGCGCTGCTGGAAAAGAGTTTTGCTGTGAGCTTTGAGTCCAGGAGTGTCTCCCTCATCTGCTGGTTCTCCCTGGTTGCTGCCTGCCACACCACCTCCAACTCTTCCTCTACTTCCCTGGAAGAGCAAAGAGACAAGAGAAGACAAGGAAGTCAGTCAGTTAAGTGCAAGCTGAGAGGGTGACATAAAGGAAATTTAAATAGCCAACAAAGTTCTAAAAATTTTGATCTAACAAAAAAAGAGAGTAAATAATATTAATAACGTGTAGACTGACAAATATAAAGTTGCAGTAGGGCATTTTTGTAAAAATGTTGTTTGTCATATTTGCTGAAACTTTCACTATATCCTGACAGAAGTACGTGAGACAGATACTTAATGAAAAAATCCGGTTCCTCTGGCTTATTCTAGTGCTCCTAATGGCATTTGCAAGAAAGCACCGGGCCTCAACGAAAACAACCAAAGACAGTTGTGTGTATTCGACGCCCTGGGAATGTGACTCAACAATCAACTATCTTCCTTCGCTCTGATTGGTTGTTTTCAAACAAATGCAAATGCCATTAGGAGTGCAAGAGGAACCAGTTTTTTTCCCCCATAGAATATCTGTCTCATGTACTACAGGATATAGTGAAAGTTTCAGCAAATATGAAATAAAAATTACCTACTGCAGCGACGGAACCAAAATGATCACCAATAAAATGAAATGCGAAAGAATAAAAGTGAACAGACTGAGGTGGTGCAAATACATTGTACGTGTGCGTGTGGTAGTGATGGAGGGTGCTTTTAGAGTGAATAACAGGTGACATGCCGCATTGCTGTGGTCATGAAACTCATTCATACGTCACTGTGGCTACAGTAAGTAATCAGGCTGACAGCAGTTAAGTTATAGCTTCACTTTCCACTAATGGCTGATTCACTGTCACTGTATCATGTGCTTAAACCAGGGTCAGACTGTCTGCTGATTTCTACTGTGCAACTGCCACCACCATCATAACTGCAGCAGACAGCGGCGACATCCTTGGGGACACACTGGCTGCAGTAGCTCACACGGCTCCATTTCAAATTTCTATCTACGTTGTGCAGAACAAGAGTACCTCAGGACTGCCCAGTCCTCAGTCCTCCTTATCCAAAAACACTGGACTGCTGGGAAAACAGTTGCATGCGTCATCTCCTTTGCCAATTATTTCCCAAGTAGTGCCTGAAGCATTGTATTTTTTAATTGAAAATAGAGAAAGGCCCATAGATGCAGTGAACATCAGAATGTGATGGAGCAGAGTCATGGCTGTTGTTGGCTTGGTTAAATTTCACAGTGGTGGGACTACAAAATA